TTCCAGGGTGGGAAAATGGTGATACAAAATTGGAGCCAAAGGAGTTTATTAGTTGTTCTCTTATGTATCGTTGTCTGTTCTATATCTACTATCCTGCTATTCTCACCCCACGGTATTTGTTGGGTTTTTTGTTTTTTAAATTTATAAGGTTATCATCGTACTCTGTGAAGTGCTATGAGATGACTATATTGTGAATTGGTGCTAATAAATAAAAATGAACTGAATTTAGTGCCTATATTCTTGCATATATTGAGTATATTCAAATGTTTCTCAGAAGTCCCTTTCTCCTTATTTTCAGCAAATATTAAAATATCTAATGAGATAATTAGTGATAATTTGTAATATGAAAAAAGAAGACCATAGGACAGTGAATTGTGCTACACAGAGACAACAGGCTTTAATGTGGAGGGAGAGATGACATACACGATAGCGCCATAAGAGTTAATGTATATGATGTAAAAACAGCAGCATCACGTGAGATTTGCAGCAGGCTGACGATCTGATAAAAGTCAGTGATCACCTTAAGCTGTGTGCTGGCAATGTCTGCCATAGTTACAGGATTAATAGTAATAATCAGTGGCTGAGGACATCAGGTTTGGACTTGGACTTGACTGGATTAGCTGCCCTTGGGCTCTTATAATAGCAGATGTAAGATCATAGCTGTCTGTCCCCAATCCTATCTGCACCTATTACAAGTCAGTGAGTCAGAGCACTGAGCACTGGTGCTTAGCCTGAGGCTTGTTAACCTCAGCGCTCCACTGTGGGATTAAGGTAATAGAAGGATTGGAACATAGACACCTTGATGAAAGGCACATGGGGGGGGGAGACTACCCCAACTCGACCTCGTCAGGCTCCAATAAAGGATGTCAGCACACCAAGTTCCAACACAAATTTTACTGGATGGTAAGACGATGGAAACAGAGCGGAAACATGGACGATGAGACTCGCAGTATGACTTCATTATCAATGGGTCATGTTCATACTGAGCTCTTGGTATAATCAGATCAAACTATTAAGAGCATCGCTGACGAGACTGAGAGACTCTGCTGCTATTAGTAAGTTCAGTAAGTTCAAGTATACACAGCACATAAATGAAGATCTATGTTTTTTTTTTAATTTCTAATCTGAAGAGACCTAAAATTTTATGTGTCAGCACCACCTAGAGGACACCAAAAAAGGGGGTGAATACCGACCAAACAGGGCTGCAAGGTGCCGCGGTTGTTAGCATCGTTGCCTCGCAGCAAGAAGGCCGGTTCATATCCCGGTGAGGACACCCGGGATCTTTCTGCGTGGAGTTTGCATGTTCTCCTCGTGCAGCGTGGGTTCTCTCCGGGTTCTTCCTCCCACAATTCAAAAACATGTTGAGGTTAATTGGTGATTCTAAATTGTCCGTAGGTGTGAATGTGAGTGTGCTTGGTTGTCTGTCTCTAAGTGTAGCCCTGTGATAGACTGGTGACCTGTCCAGGGTGTCTCCTACCTTCACCCTGAGTCAGCTGGGATAGACTCCAGCCCCCCATGACCCTAGTGAGGATTAAGCGGTGTGTAGATGATGGATGGATGACACTGACCACACAGTTGAGACACTGTCAGGGCTATATGTCATGTCAAAAAAATATTCAAAATTACCCTTGGATATCTGAATAAAAGTTTACAAAACCCTCGTGACTCGTTTAATTTTCCTCATTTTATTTATTCGTTCCCCTCATTTTTGTATTTTGTTTCAAATGTAAGTATAAGCTTGTGAATTCTGAATTCTCAGCGGGAAAGCAGGTGATAATTTGAAATGAGGTTGAATTTCATTCAGGTTTTCCGGTACAGGTTTTGGCAGGCTGGCTCACTTAATAAATGAGCTTACTGGGATGTCGCAATGGAACAGAGCCTTCGCTTTTGTTAATTTCTACGTCACAAATTAGAGAAGACCAACACGCAGAACCACAAAGCTGGGGCAGGGGTGAGGCAAAATCAATGACTGGACAGAGCAAAGTACAGCCTGTTCCAGAGTTTAAAACCAGTAATCCAACATAGCAGAGACACAAAGGCTTCAGGTAAACTCTCGTGGCCGAGACGCAGAATTCAGGGAAAGGAAATTCATACGAACAGGCAGGATGCAAAGCTGGCAGGAGCCCATACAACGATTTGGCAAACAACATACTATATATGCTGTGAGTGAATGAGCAGGTGTGTGACAGAGCAAACAGGTAGACAACTAACAGGCTGACAGATGGAGCAGGGGACGTGGTTGTGGGTGGAGACAGTTCAGCTGCCAGGTGTTGACTGGAGGATGAGCAGAGGCAGGTAAAGCAGCAAGAAGGTGGGGTTAAGAAGAGCAGAAAAATCATGGATTCTGTTCTTATAGAATGTTAACTCTTGCTTAAACCTCGAAACTGCATATTAAAGATGGAGTGAAGCTGACATGGAAGTGCCTTAAATCTCCAGTGTTTGTAATGCCAAACAGTCGGCAACTCTTCTGATTGTAAAAAGAAGTTTGATCTACAAATTTATGGTCTTAATCACTAGTTTCAAGACTCATCAGGGATCAGCTGTGACTGTGTCATCAGAGCACACCCAGCAGGTAACTGCCCTCAGACGACCAGTGTGGTTGGACAACAGGAAGAACTTGCTGTAAGCCTAAAACACAGTCTTAACAAAACAATGGCACCCTGCAGCAATGAAACTCAACGTAAATGACTTAGACAAAGACAGGATGTTCTTCAGAAAGCTGCAGACACAGCACATAGGTCCCAAACTGACAAAGTTCTGGTGTTCATAGGTCATTTAATACCCATGTTCATGTAATTAGGCTGATTGGAAATCGCAGGTATCCTCAGTTTTTCTTTTTTTCCCCAGTTATACCTATAATATGATATGAAAGCACTTAACACTCATTAACAGGTGATTTCTAGGACGTGTAGCACAAAGCAGATTTTCGTGATCTACAGTGCTAGTTAGTTGTTTGCTGAATGAGGTACTAGTAAAACTCATTCTTGATGGTAGATTCAGTGGAAGAAAAACAAGATCAGAGGGAACATGCTCCATGAGCCATGTAAAGGTGGATCCATGATTCCAAATTCTACTGATATTTAGCTTGTTTGCAGGATAGTTAGCATGTGCCTGATTTACCATCCTGCTTACTTCTCCCTCTTCTTGTCAGCCTGTCCTGCTCATGGGCACAAACTGGGGCATTGCTGGAATTGTGGTTTGCCGACTCTAACTGACAAGGGTAGTCATTGTGGACTGTAGATAAAGATCTGTGAATCCCTGTGTTGTTACTAACAGTTTTTCTAAATGCAGCTGTGAAGCTCAGTGTGGTGATGTAACTCTACCTAACTCCAGGCTGAACCAAAATTCTGTATAGAGGTGGAGTGTGAGTGGAGCTGAGGAGAGATGAATGATGTGGCCACCCATCTCTCAGTTACAGTAGTCACAGTGCTGCGGGGATTTTATAGGTGGTCTTTGTAGAAGATGATGATGATGCTCCACTTGGTAAGGTAGAGGTGCTTTAGACGAGTCGTCAATAACGACTGTGTCTAGAAGAGATCGAATGCAGGAAGCATTGACAGCAGGTGAGAGATGACGGAATGACCTTGAGTTCAAATGGCCTACGTGGGTGTTTAAGGTTGTTGAAGTCGGGGTAGAGGTTCGTGACCCTGACATCCCAGTGCTAGGAATGAGAGCAGAAGGCTGATGACTGATGTGGGTGACACAAAACAGGTGTGAGGGCAGATCGGTCAAGAGCGACTGCTGCTGCAGAAGAAGCAAGCATGCAGGTATCTGCTCTGAGACGTGCTTGTTAGGTTGATATTGTTGCAGATGGTTTATCCTTACTACTGAAGTACTGGTTTTCCTTTATGTCAATGCCTTGGGGCAAGAGTGGGAAACCATGTGGTGTCAGGAATAGCAGCTAGGAATGATGAAGTTGAGTGATGAGGATGAGAGGAGGAAGATCTGCTTCGAATTGTGATTTAGAAGCAGACAGGACAACTGGTGACTTGATGAGCCACAGATGTTGACTGAACCTTCATGTCTGAGATGGAAAAACTGTCGAGAGGAAGTCTCTATGAATAGAATACCCTTTATTAGTTCCTCAAGGATATTCTATTCTATTCTATTCTATTCTATTCTATTCTATTCTATTCTATTCTATTTCTTACAAATACATTCTACATAAATACATCCTTATATGTGCTTTAAGTATGTTCCTGAAAGACAGTTTGTGAACAGATGCAAATGCAAAACTACAAGGCAGAAATGTAATAAAATAAAATAAAATAAATGGTGTTTTTGTTTTGATTCATGGATTGAATGCTGTATGTTGTGGGGCTTTGTTTGGCTAGTTAGTTGTTTTTCTTTAGGAGTAACTTTGGAATCATGTAAGACTTTATTTTTGTGGTGTTTTTCCTCATATATCCTTTTTTCTTTGGTATGTGTTATGGTGTTTTTTAGTCAGCTCATACAGTTCAGTTCGGTTAGTTTTGTTTAGTCATTTTGGGAATCCTGACCTGTTTTGTTTGAGTTTTCTGTGTAGTCCAGTCTCTGTGTTGTAAATACTTTTCTTGTAAAAATAAGTAAATAAATGAATAAATGTAACTAGTTGTCTGTCTTTTTTTTTTGGAATTATGTATTTTTGATAAGAAACCCAGCAGCAGACGTCCGGTGTGGCCCCACCGCTCAGACTTTGGTCTTCCTGCTTTGCGCACAGAGAGCTGGACAGAGTTTAAATTCTCTTCCACAGATAGGTTGCTGTCAGTCAGCAGGAACAAAAAAAAAAAAAAAAAAAAGACCTCGGTCAGATTAGAATCGGGCCGACAGAGCGCCCCGTTTCACGCAGCGGTGTCCGTGTCATTGATTTGAAGGGGATGAGTGCTGACACATCCACGCAGTCAGCGCAGCGCCGGTGAGCAGCGGAGTGATGCGTCTCCGGGACCAGGCGCTCTGCCTCCGCTCCGAAGCCTGAGCAGCAGCAGCGGGAGCGGCTCCACACCTCGGACCTCACTCGGATAATGTCTCTGCTGAAACAGCGGGGGAGAGAACTCGAGCGATTCGACGGACTGTCGCTCATTTACTGGTATGTGGGAAAAGTGAAACAAGTTTGGGTTCAGCTCCCTGGCGCAGGGCTCCGGGTTAGAGAAAGCGACGCAGAAGTCCAGAACAAATCAGGCAAATTGTACGTTTCATTAAACATGACTAAAGTGCAGCCTGATCAGTAGTTTTCCCCTGTTAGATTCGGCACATACCGTCAGTGAGAAGCTTTATTCTAACGATCCTGTCACAACCAAATGCGTAAAAGCATAATTAATACGATGATCGCGTCTTTACGCAGAGCATCTGCCAGACTTCTTCTCTTTATAACGTGCCAAACTTGTTTTTTAACTTGAAATATTTTATTCCTGTGAGGTTTTGTCTTGATGTGCTGCAGGTACAGCTGACGGAGATTTACAGAAATATACTGAAAGAGCTGTTATCTCTTTTTTTCTGCTTTAGACTTCACCACCAATAAAGACAAGTTAAACAGCCATAAATTTTCTAAAATAAAGGAGAAAAGCAGTTAAATGATAAGTAATAAGCTTAATTAACACTAACGATCTAGTACATCATATGTGCAGTCAGGTCAATATTTTTAAAACAGGAGGAACACTAATGGTTATATTAATTGGCATTTTAAATCATGTTCATAAAATTAGGTAATGGCTGATTTATTGTTATTATTTTAATCATGCACACATTGACATCTCCATGTGTGGAAACAGCTGATTATTTCTCCTGGAGGGAGACGATATGAGAGTTATCAAAAATCAAGACAGATAAATAAGATAGAATGTGATTAATGGACAAGTAGGGCAATATGGAGAGGGCCAGTTTGTTTTGTTCTTGTGTCCTGAGAGGAGGAGTCTGTCAGCTAAATGTAGTTGCTGAGTGGACTGTTGAGGCTGGGTCAGCCAGGATCGCTTAAAGGCAGGCTGAAGGGAGTTGATACAACACTGCTGGGTGCCCCTCTCGCTTCATGACACCCATCTTTTGCCAGCCGTCTCCTCTCCTACAAGCAGAACCACCCCTAAAGTTTCCCTCATGATTCTCTCCTCCCAGAAGTTACCCGAGCTCTGGGACTACTTTCTGATTTACGTCTCAGGAGCCCTAGAGTTTAATCCTGACTGCAAAGACATAGACCTGGGCCTGTTTCCTCTCAGGATGAACCCCACCATTAAGACCAGGTAGGTGTGACACTGGAGGAGTTTCCACAGATGTTCTATAATCTGTAGAGAAACTGCATCTTTTAGTGGCTTCCAGGAGTGACTTCGGTTTGTCTGGGATAGCTGACATTTGTTTGTAGGGTCAAAATAATGTGAAACCTGACTTAGGGATGATTTGTACAATGAGAATGTTTAGCTCTCCAGTAAGGTGCAGGGGGAAAATAGTCATGTTTTAAGTGCATATGGATGATTGGGAGTTAAGAAATTTAAACTGTGGAGGTTGTACACCTCCGAATGAATCAGAATCAGGGTGAAATTTGTTAAGTTTGTGCCTTTGATCAAAAAGATGATAACCTCTGCATCATTTTTTTTTTCATATTGAGATCTTGATTAAAGCAGCGGGTAATGAAGTGACTTGGTGGGATGGAAATTGTTCCTGGCTGTCTTGGTTTATATCTGATTGTTTACTGATGTATTGCATTTAAAAGACATATTGATTGTCGTTTAGGTGCCTATCGGTCACTTGGATTGAAAGCCGGGCTGTAATAGTGGTTAATGACGGTACGGAATCATAATCGCTCAACGTAAAGCAAATTAAACAACATCAAAAAACAACACAAATAATAAATATTAGACCATTTTATCTCTTCATTTGGAGCTTTTTAAATTACCATCACTGGAGGGATTCCTTCGTATGGCTTGTGCTATCCGGCAACATGAAAACGAATTTATCGTACTGAAGCCATAAACAGTGACAGTTCTGCTGGATCTGCAGTCTCCTGTTTGTGGTCTTGTGTTGTCATCTGTCATTTGTTATTAAGAGCAATAAGACAGGACACATCGCAGGACTTTTTCACACTTGTAAAAACAGAAAGATTAATGTGCACACTGACTCGTTACAAATCGGTGCTGAGCTGCTAATTTGCTGATGTCATCAAGCATCGTCGGCACAACATGCATGCACCACATTCCTCTGAGTGACACCAGATTATGCTGCGCTGCACCGAATCATCCTCTTTTCAAGAAGAAACAATGAGTTCTACGCATTCTTGCTGTGGTCTAAACTATGACTAGGCCTCATATGGCATGAATATGGCCCATTCCATGAAAAATCAGTCAGTGTCTCCCCCAAACCTCCTTCAGAATCAGTTGATATTTTTTTTGTACAGTAACATTAGCATCTTCAATGAAGCCATTGAAAATGTTCTTTTTGTGCTATAAACATGTTCTGAGTCCCTTGAAGAACTTTGGGGTGGCTCCAAATTTCACAGTGTCTAATTCTACTTTTTTTTTTTTTTTGCCAGAGAGAAAGAGGGATGAATGATTGCAGCTGCCAGTGACTCTCTGATAAAGTTCTCCTTTGCTGAGTGTGTAGGCTTGGACAGGTTATAGAGGTGGTTACTAGGCACGGGGGACCCAGGCAGGAGGTTGATGGAGCAGTCATAGAGCTGATAAGGAGATAGGGAAAGGGTGTTGTGCTTGCTGAACACAGGGGCTAGGTTGTGGTGAGCCACCAAAACTCCAGAGAGGTCAAAAGGTTCAGTGGGAATGCCAGATTAAGACCTTGCCTTGGGAGCAGTTTATGTGAGGGTTGTGTCTCTTTGGCCACCAGTATCCTAGCACCAGGGGAGAATTGGGAGAGTCCATGAGGTGGAAGGTGATGCTTTCCTGATAGACAGATAGAGGATGATGGGGATAGTTCAGTGGCACACCTTGGCAAGATGCTTTCTGTTGAGGGTCCGAGCTTCCAGAATGGACTGAAGAGACTCAAAGGGATCTCGAGTTGAAAAGCCAGGTTGAGGTGAAGTTTTCTTCAGCTACTGAGTGCACTAAGGCTGTGAGTTCTTGGGTCAGGTTTTGCCAGGAAAGGGAGGCAGGAAGCTGTAGACGGAGTAGAGACTGGATGGAGGTTTGGCTTACCAGTATTCCCCTAGTCATTGGCATGCCTCCCCTTTTGCTGGGTGTACTGGACAGGTGGAGATAAAGTAACCTTGTTGACCACAGTACAGGCAGGTGTTAGAGGAATAGCAGTTTTCAGGGTTGTCTGGGCAGCAGGAGATGTTGAATGTGGGGAGACGGCCACAAGGACTGTTGGGGAAACTGTGGAGCTCTTTTCTCGGCAACATTAACTCAACATTAACCCAGCCTGGTAGTGAGGGAGATGAAGTCATCCAAGCTGAAGGTTACATCTCAGGAGGCAAGTTAATCCTTCATGGGTCATTTCGTGCTCTCAGGAACACCCTTGAAGAGCCAAAAAGTCATTCCGTGGCGAGGGGTTGGAACTCTATGGCCAGTTCAACCACGCTGCAGGTTTCTTAGCAAAGGCAGTAGAGACGCTGGTCAGTCTCTCTACAGGGAAGGCCTCATAGCTATTGCACGTCTCCGACTGCCTCTCACAGACTGACGGACCCCAGTCCCTGGCTACCCCCTTAAGTAAGCCTAACAAATAAGCAATGATGGAACAGTGGGAGGAGCAAAATACCAGCTGCTACACTTGCTATCAAACTAATATGGACAAAGACTAACGTAGAACACATGAAACAAAACCACAAGCGAGAAAACTACTGGGAGACTCTCATAACAGGAAAGTTAGAAAAACAGGCTGGAAGATAGGCTAACTAAACTATCCACAGACACAAACCCTACAAGGGAAGCTGGGAGCATGTGCTAACAATGGAGCTAACAGATATTGCAATGCTAACCTGAACCGAGAACTACAAGGGCAGGAAAGCTATAAGGATCAGGGGCCGGTGGAACAGCGGTAAACAAAACATAAGGCTATAGGCCAAGAAAACTTAGGTGGCAGAACGGGCACAGGAGGGACAGGCTGGAGTGTGTTTGACGATAAGCGGCGTGTGGCGTGACAGTGTCCGAAGGTGGCCTGGAGGGTTGGAGCAGGTAGGGGAATCAGACGGCTTTGTTTCTTGTCCAGGAATCCTGACGGAACAGGAGATGTACATGTGGCAGAATCCAATCCGTTTTCCCAGGTGGAGGACGAGGCTGGGGGAATCCAGCTGAGGAAGTGCTGTAAAACAGAGAGACGTTACTAGAGGTACAGAAATAGACACAGAGAAAACCAGAACTGGTCTGAGCAGAACTCACAGTAGTCGATTGTATGATCTGACATCAAGTGATGGTCTGAGACGCATTTATGGAGCAAGATGGATGATTTACAGGCAGGTGAGCCCCCAGTGCAGGTGTCCTCGCTCCTCCTGATTAGCACACCGCTCTGACACACACACAGACACACACACACACACACACACACACACACACACAGAGGGAGAGGGGAATGGAGGTGGAGACCTGTCAGCGAAGCAGAGGTGGAGGCACAGGTCCTGAGAAATTGAACTGAACAAAAATGAGATTTTGTCTTCAGATGGTGACACCTGGAGTGGATGTGAAATTAATTTTACATTTTTTAACAGAGCACAAATTTTTGTTTTTTTATGTATCTACCTCCTGTACTTATGAAGGTATGAGGGCTCAAAAATGATGAAGGAACATTTATTTCCAAATCACCAGTCAGACTTATGACACTTGTGTCAAAATGTCACTCTGACTCACTTGTGATTGGTCAGAGGCCGCAGTGACGGTGTTGTGTTGTAGCCTGACCTTCGCTGATTGGCTGGATGAAGTCACGTGATTCTGCCTCTGCCATTTTTAAAGCCTGTGGGAGTTATTATATATGGTTCCTTGCCTGAGAAAAGGTTAAGGACTCGAAAATCTGAAAACATTCATTGTATAAAGAGAAGAAAAGAAAAAGAAAAAAAACCAAGGTTTCATTAATTATACTAAAGCTATTGTACAAAAAATATGCTGATTCCGATTTGTATGATTTACTATTACCCACACACTAAATAATATGATTTTTTTT